TATGGCAGCATGTCACGGCAGAGCACACGGGAGAGGAAAGCTACTTCCTTCATGGCAGTGAAGAAGCAAGATAGAAGGAAAGGAAAGGGAGTTCCCCTGTTAAGGGCAGGTGCCCCTGTGACCTCACTTTCTCTTGATAGATCCTACCTTCTCAGGTTTGCACCAGCTCCCAACACAATCACAGGTTGGGGGAGCCAAGTTGGGAGGACATTTAAGATCTAAACTATAGCTCTTAGGTAATAACCATTACTATAATCATGATTCCGCATAGCAGGCTTTTTACCTTTGAAAGAATGTTTCTAATGTACTCCTGTTTTCCCACATTGCATTCTTTCTCTTAATACATTGTAGTTATTGAGTTTACTAAATATCAGTAGACACACAGAAAAAGAAAAATGCAGGAAATACTTGGAAATTATGTTTCTGAAATTTAATTCCTAACTGTATCTGGTCATTTGCCTGGATTATAATGAGTTTTCTCTTTCAAAAATTATGCTAGAGAAAGCAATAGTGATATGATATTGCTTCATTACTCTATAAAAACCTTAACAAGTAAAAAAAGGAGGGGTAAGGTAAGTTTCAGTCCCCAAAATATTGACAGCCCATTGTCTCTAACTCATTTTTCCATTTTCTGTTGCAAAGTATCTGCAGTCAGAGCACCAAGTCACTAACTGTTTAGGACCACTGCATTAGATTTTATTTGCTAAGTTACCACAAATTTAGCAGCTTGATTGTATTAGTTTACTGTTTCTGTAGGTCAGTGCTCTAGGTGCAGTGTGGTTTGATTCCCTGTTGAGGGTGATACTTGTTTGAAACCAAGCTGTCATCTTGGGCTGTGGTCTCATCTGTGCTCAGGAAGTTCCTGTATTCTCTTGTTGGTGGTAACATTCATTTACTTGGGACTGGAGGGTGGAGGTCCCCATTTTTTCTTTTCATAGGGTAGGGGCAGCCTCAGCAATTTGCAGGCATATGCAATCTCTTAAAGTTCACAACATGGGTGTTGGATTTTTTCCAGGCTAGAAAGAGCCAGTCCCTCTAATCTTCTCTTCTGAAATTGTCTGAAGAAAAACAACTGGGACTCACTTGATTAGGTCAGGCCCACTTGTGCAGTCTCTGCATTTTAAGCATTGTTTTGGTATCATAATTATACCTGCAAAATCCTTTTATGGAAGCATCTAGGTTACAGTTTGATCAGTTATCTGGAAGAAGATGTGTGGGACCAGGGCCAAGATTCCTGGCCTGGGTGTGGGTGAGGCTGCATCCCAGAACTCTTTCTACTATAGTGATGATCAAGAGCTTCTGTAATTATACAACAGTTCTTAATAAAATTGGGACTATATAATTCCCACACCATCACCACATGAATTCTATAATCAATCTTCTTCCTTATAAGCTTTCCAATTGATTAAATGATCTAGTTGGATGTTTCAAGTTGATAAATTCACAGGGATTCCATGTGGAAGTCCAATGAATGATTGGGGAGCATCCCAAGAAAGGTAAGAGAAGACATGAATTTCCTTCACATAAAACTGAGAGTGACAGAGGAGCCATACTGGGATGGGGGAAGCAAATTTGCTTTAAAGCAAAGGAGGAACAAAGCCTTCCTCATAGAAAGTACAATTTTCCTCGATGGGATTTTATAACTCTGTCATGTCCCTCAACAACACCTGACAAACCAGCTGATGTTTCTTGAGATTATGCTCCCCACTGAAAAAAGTGACAAACTCTTTGAAAAATGGGGCAATTTCTTATCTTATAGCTCTCTGATGAGAAAGTTTGAAACAGAAATGTCAGTACTTTCTCCAACAAAGTTGTGTCAATTCCATAATAGAAGCATTGTGTCCTTCATAAAGCCACCTCTGTTCCTTCAGAGCACAAAGAACCTGGAAATAAATGTAGGCAGGACATGATTTTACTCACCTGCAAACTGTTCCCTTCCATCATAACTTTACTTAACTCATAGTTATGCTCTTAATTAACAATTTAATTGGTTGGTGCTTTCTCAGTCCAGTTCTCTGGGGGCATGGTTTTCTGTTTAACTTTCTTGTTTCAAATCTTCAGCAAAAGCATAAAATTTAATTAGGAAAGTAACCAGCTTTGTAACAGCAGTTGTATATTTGATTAGCTATGCTTTGGCCATAAGCTTCCCAAATTTCACTCAGTATTGTATACACATTTTGAATTTGCTCATGTTTGAGAGATGACATTGTGAATTTATATCCCAAACAAGAAATCTAATCACTTTTCATTTTCTTTAAGATGTTTTGTTCTAAAAACAGGAAAATTAATTTGAAGCCTTCATATAGGAAAATGAGAGCCAAAGGCCAAGACGTATGTTGTTAATTGTCTGCTTTCTATCGCTGTGGGACAATAGCCACAAGTATAGCATCTGAAGACAATACCCACGTATTGTCTCACAGTTCTGTATATCAGAAGCCTGGGCATGGCTGGCTGGATTCTCTCTTCCTGGCTAGAATGGGCTAACATTCACATTTTGGCTGAGCTACATTCTCATCTGGGCCCCACAGGCCTCTTCCAAGCTGTATGTGGTAGAACCCATGTTCTCATGGTTGTAGTACTGTTCTCTCCATTTCCTTGCTGCCTATCAACTAGGGATCATTCCTACCTCGTAGAAGTAGCTGTTATTCTTTGGCATGTGCCTCCTGTGGGCCATTTATAATAGAGCAGTTTATCAAAGACTTTGAGACCAGCAAGAGCACTTTCTCGGTCAACAGCTGGAGAAAACTCTACTTTTAAAGGGCTCACCTGTTTGGGACAGGCCCATTCCAGGTAAGCTCCCTTCTGCCCTATAAGGCAGTATTATCCGGGAAAGGACTGCATCATCATATTCATAGGAAAGCAATAGTGCAGAGCAAGTACACCAGGGGGTAGAGATCCTGGGGCCATCCTACAATTCTGTCAACCACATAGTGCTTTAGGAGAAGGTGGCAAGTAAAGTCATTGGCAAACTTCTCTTCTGTCCCCCTGGCGGCACTGCACAATGCATGCAGAGAAGCTGTTAGCAATGGCCCTGATTCTGTCCTATCTGCTCCACAGGGTAGAAGATGACAGACAGTCACATTCTTTCTTCTCTGCAGGCTGCTTTCTCTGCCTGGTCAGAATTGCTGCCTTCTGTAGTGCAAATGGATCACTTGGTAAAATCATTCAAATTTAAAATGACATCAAGGTAACAGGATGCTTTTAGACAGAAATTTATCTAAGCTCAATACTTCAAACTTTAGTCCAATAAGCTACCTCTGTAGTAAAAAGAAGTGAATGAATGCATAGGAAAGATTTAGCAGAGAAAGCCTGAAACTGCTCTCATAAGAAAGGCCTATCTATCCATCAATATGCTAACATTTTTTTTTTTTCTTGTGTGGCATTTGGGAATTTAGCTTTTGGGAGAGTTTCTATCACCTTAACCCCCCAAAGTGACATAATGTGCCTAACCATTTCTGCAAATGTTACAAAGGCCTACTTGGCAAATATTTGTTTTTCTTCTAGGAGTCTAGAATGTGTCAGGGTAAAGGTGATTGTATGATCAGGCTCCAATGCAGCCTTGGCTACTAAGTCAGGCTTTCCTGATAGACAACTTCGCAAATATGTTGCCAGAACTCATTGTTCCGGGTGGAGGTGGGGAGTTAAGAACATCCTACATGAGTTCAGGCAGAAAATGCTTGGAATTTGTGCCTGGGTTTTTTGAACTTCATTTCAGGCCTCCTTTCCCTTTGCTGGTTCTGTTTTGTATGCTTTTGCTATAATTAATCATAGCTGCGAATAGATTATATGCTGAGGCACATGAGGCCTCTTGGAAAATCCTGAACCTGAGGGTAGTAATGACATCCCCTGACTCTAGGAACATAGCCATATATGAGCATAACACTCATATTCGGGGTCTATACTCCACTGCCCTGTAAACTCAGCCTAACTTTGTTCATTATGAATATGATCAGGCTGGAGGCAAGAGGAAGGCCTCACCACGGTCCTAAAGGGCTTGGTATGGCTTATATGCTTATTTCAATTCCACACTGTGTTATTCCAAGTTATTTAACGTCTGTTCATCTCTCTTTTTTTTTTCTCCTGTAAGACAGCAATAATAATAGTACCTACTTCATAGAATCACGTTCATGAGGTAATTCATAGAAACTACACTGCACCATGAGGGGCTCATAGTTACTGAGCAGGGCTTGCATAGTTTTCCAAATAGAATTGTACTTCTATCATCTAGGAGAGATATTTCTCTGTTTGACATTAAAGATTATTGATGGCCCTTTGGTAATCTGCTGTGCCATCCATGAAAATGAAGCCTGAACTATCATCCTTTAAGGGCCTGCTTCTACTCTGGTAGGCAGGGCAGGGAGCCAATTGCCACACTTCTCAGCATAGCTTTTGAATTAGACCTATGCTCAGTTACACACAATAATGGGAAAATGAGAAAGTCGAACTCTAAAAATCTATAAAACCCATTAGAGATTGAATAATCAGAGATTTCATCCTTTGCAAATAAAATTTTCTTTAAACCAACTGAAATATAGCAATGTTAGTCAGCTTGAATTTCTAGCTTTTACTTTCCTCAACTTACTTCTAAAGATTTGATTAGAAGAAAAGTATCAAAGTGATCTACATGAAGATTCCAAGAAGAAAAAGTGAAGCTCTGAAAACTACAAACTAAAATTATTCATCTATTAAAGAAAAAAAGCAAAATAAGTTTCCAAGGTGTTTTTGTTCTTCAAACTCTGTCAGTAGTCTAAACTTTTCTTTAAATACTCTTTCAATTAATCTCTTAGCTTTTATTTCTCCTGGCTAATTAAATCCAATTATGGGGCTGGGGAGATGGCTCAATGGAATAAGTGCTTCTCTGGCAAGCTCAAGGGCCTGAGTTCAATCCCCGGTTCCGAAAAAAAAAAAAAAAAAAAATCCAATTATTTAACTCAAGTCAGTAAGGTCTTGTAAACAAATAAAAGGCAGAATTTTATTGTACAAGTGAGTAAATCTGTTACCTTGAGTCTGTGGTATATTTCCTTCAGTGCATACGCTTCTTCTTCTGTTTTGGGAATAAGTCTTATCACCTTATCACTATAAAAAAAGAACAAAAGGCAATATTCACCTTTCAAAAATAAAGTCATTAACCATCTTTTTTTTCATCTCTTAATGAACAACCGTTGCATTTAAGAAAAACTGCAAAACTTCACTTACAAGTAAGCATATTACACGGTTCTTATTATTCTCTGGTTATATTGGGTCTGTTTTCCTGGTCTTACAACCAGTATTTCATCAGCTTTTGAAGTTTACAAAATCACATATATTGTAATTAATGTAGAAAGAGGCTCAAACATAAGAACAATGACATCATGGGACAGGAATTTTCTTAAATAGCTCAGAGCAGATATCAAGAAAGAAAATTCCTAATGAGAAAAAAACCCTCTTTCCTTCCTTCCCTCCCTCCCTTTCTTCCTTCCTTCTTTCTCTCTCCCTTTCCTCTTCTCTCCTCTCCTTTTTCTTTTTTTTTTTTAACCTACATAGGAGCTCTAGCCCTGAACAATATCCTCAGACCCCCATTTTAAAAAATTCTAATGTTGAAAAGGAAAGCAACTTTCAGAGACAAGATCTTCGAAATTCATACCCTTATGGGGGCCATGGATATAGCTTAGTAGCATAGGTGCCTGCTGGGCAAACACAAGATCCTGAGTTCAATCCCTGGTATAAAACAAAAACCAAAACAAAATGAACAACAACAACAACAAACAAACAAACACCCCCCCCCATATTCTATGGAAGACATCTGGTTTGGATTCTTCCCACATGAAGCACAGTAAAGAGAAAGCCTATCATTGGGGCATCTGATTTCTGATCAGTTTCTAAACTGGCAAGGGCTTGGGTGAGAGGTGAGTGGCAAAGAGGAAGCCCATTTTACCATACTACAGAGATGTTTTCTGTAAAGATCCTAAAACTGCTGAAGGTGACTAGAAGTATTGATCTGTTCTCCAGAGGATTCTCAAGGGAGTGACACTGCTTCAGATTGCCAGGCAATTGCTAGGTTTTGCAGAGGAGATGCTTATTAAGTATTTATTAATGGAAGTTGATTGCAGTGGTGTCTGCCTATAATCCTAGCTACTCAAGAGCATCACATGTATGAGGCCAACCTGATGGAAAGCATAGAGATGTCCTGTCAAAACAAAAAGGTTGGGAATATAGCTAAAGGGCATAGCATTTGCCTAGCAAGGTCCTAGGTTGTTCAATTCAATGTGTGTGTGTGTGTGTGTGTGTGTGTGTGTGTGTGTGTGTGAAATACAGATATATATTTTAATCAGAAGACCAAAATTTTGTCAATTCAGTTACTTTGTTTGTTTTTGGTCTTTTTTGATTTTACCATATTTTTTTGGTTGAATTGTTTTGTAGGGGAGATTTAGTTTTTGTTTTTAGTGCCAAGGACTGAATACAGGGCTCCAGCTTGCTAGGCAAGCATTTTACTGCTGAGCCAAATCTCCAGCCCTTGTCAATTCATTCAAGGATCCATCTCCCTAGTCTGAAAGGTATACTAGGAAGATAGATATAATTTGCATACATTTCCATGGTTTTATTTATTAGAAGAATAGGAATTTCCAAGATCAGGCAAGGTAGATGTAGAGCACACCAGACCCCAGCGAGACTCCTGGATTTGTTAGACAATGATGTTTTAGGGTTACATGTTTACTTCTAATCACTTTAGTTTTGAAATTTCAAATGATCCCATTATGCTTTCTTTAAGTCTATTAATGAAAAGGTCATTGACTTGCTGGCAATAATTTGATTAGAAGAATAGTGTCTATAATAGTGTCTTAGGTGCTATTCTACTTATAGTTTTGAAACTTTGGTTCTCTCACATCATGCAAAACCACCTCTACAAACCGAGTCTCAAAGTCCATATTTCTGAAAAAAAAGAGATAAATAAAATAAACTGTAAAACAACTCTCAATATAACTTTAAAATTGCTCCATTTGTTTCACAAAACAAAAGCTTATCCTTTCTAAATCTGACAACTAATACTTTGTGGAGTAGGAAACAATAATTTGGTACTATGAACAGAGAGGTTTCCAGTAGTAAATCATGTACAGGAAATTAAGAGAGAAAACCTAGCAGGGGACCACTATCAAAGGAGGTGAACTGAGGGATTTTCTTCACAATTTGTCAAGGCTTTTCCTTCGCCTTTCAGTTTTAGTACGTACTTTCTCTTCCCTTTGTATTTTCTGCCTTCATCATACACTGGTCTTGTCCCACCTGATCCAGTACAAATTTTGGCAGAGAAAAAAACAGCTGGGTGATGTAGCTGCTTTTGATGGATGGATCACTTGGCAGCTTGCTGGAAAAATACCTCCATCTGGGGCCTGTCAGCTCAAGAGTGTAAGGGAAGCAATCTGTAGCTGTTTTACAGCCACAGGAAGATGGATAATTCAGCCTGGCCACTGGTTCCTCTTCTCTAATTCAGGATATAAAGGCACCACCCCTGAAATAATTTAACCCTGACAGTGAATTCATCACCAAGAGTTCACCTCACCTTTTAGAAATTATTGGGTGTGGCTTTAGGAATATATTTATTATTGTTTTGATTATTTATCAAAGATTGGTAAATAAGAGAAGTTATCAGGAAAACCCACAGAAGGTCACTTCTGTAAACGATAAATGATGTTGAAGGAATGGCTAATAAGCACAATGAAACAAGAGCTCTTCATTCAGCATGACAAATGACATGATCTTAAATGCTTCATTTGTTTCACCAAACAAAAGTTTATCCTTTCTGAATTTGAAAATCAGTATTTTTTGAAGTAGGGAACAATAATTTGATACTATAAATCTTGAGGTTTCAAGGAGTAAATTACTTCCTAGAAGGTAAGAGAGAAAACCCTAGCTGGGCACAACTGTCAAATAAGATAAACTGAGAGGTTTTTTTTTTTTCCCCACAGTTTCCCAGGTGTTTTTTACATCTAGGTGACATATAAATTAAGGCCCCTTGGTTACTCTTTGGGATTAAGGTGAGGGAATCAAAGGATTTACTATAACCTGAGGTTAGAAAGACTAGTGGGCAACCAGTTACTCATAGGTATCACCTACCTCTTACATCCTTAGTACATGAAAACGTCCCTAAGTCACTGCTCCCTAAAGGAAAGAATTTTCTCAACACTTGGACATTCCCTCTTTAGAATATACAGGCCCCGACTTCCAGCTTCTTCCCAATATAGGTACTGGAGCCCCTTTTGTAATCTCCAACCCCCAGAACCACATGGTATCATTTTTTTCTTTCAATTGTAGCTTTGATTTATTCCCAAATGCTTGGTCCCTGGAAGTTTCTTCTTCCCACAAAATTCAATTATTTACTGAAAAACAGGAGAAAGCTGCAAAAACACATGGTCTGGAGTCAAACTGCTGTTAGTTGTATGAACTTGAACAAGATTTTTAACCTCTGTGCTTCATTCCCTGTATTTGATTGAAGATAGTGTTTCTTAATGGATTGTTGTGAAGATTAAGTGTGTGTGCATGTCAAGTGCTGAGAAAAATTATTGACACATAGTGAGGTCTGTATAAATACTTGATATTATTACATTTTTGCCTTTGTACCTTTTCATCTTATTTTATCCAATATTTACACTTGAAGGGTCCTTGACTACATTAGTGTAGTCTTCCTCCTTTTTTATATTCTAATTTGTTGAATGGAAGAAAGAATGAGATTCTCTTTAAGAGAAAACTAAGTAGAGCAGAATCTCCCTTTGTGGTGTTCTTTGATCTGTGTTTCACAATTCCTTCCTCCTGCAGTTAGTCAGCAGATGATAAGGAAGAATGAGAAGGGAGTTCTACCCAGTTGGGCTTATTTTACTGGATACAGCCCAATGACTCATCAAGTTAGACCTACTCTTTGGTAGTTTGCATGATATATCTAGAGTGAGTCAAGCAGAACAAAAGCAGTAATTGTAAAACATTTAAATTTCATTTACTTTATTTTTTTCATGTCTGTCTACAAGCCTCAAGGTGTATTTCAGTCTGGGCTTCACCACTCTCTGTGGCCCCTTGGCCAAAATGTTGAAACATTTAGCGATGACACATCCTAATCCCTAAATTGGGACGCACTCCAATGTACTATTGGATAATGTTTTTGCAAAAAGTGTTTCATTCAGCATGTTTGTTAAGGTTAACATATCTTCCAGGCAAAGTGGTAGGTGTCAGAGAAATGCAAGTTCCTTTCTGGGTGGGTTTATATGTTCACAGTGCCAGTGAGATACTGTCCGGGAAACGCCTAACTTATTATTGCCTTCTAACATAGAGCAACTAATATTATTACCTTCCTACCAAAGTTTTTTTTCTTTTTCTTTAATCTAAAAAGAGCCAAAAGCAGATCCTTCTCCAAATGTGTTTCAGTGTGAATCCCAGAAATAGCAAAACAAAATTCTGTTATGGAAGCATTTAATTTTTTTTTTCTGGTTCCTGGTAGCTTTGTTTTGACCTTTTCATAGGTATTTGAATCAGATCATTGTTATATTCCTTAATTTTGGACTGTTTGCTTAGGCAGCTCCTTGACATGTGAGAAATACATGTTAGGTGGTCTCATTATTTTCAACAAGAGCAAATGGAGATACAAGATACCTTACATAAAATGAAAAGGGAAAAATCATTTCAGAGGAAGCCACACATTCAATATTTCAGTACTTCTAAGGGCACAATTTACCTGAATGTAGTAAAGGGTTTATAGGGTGGAGAATAGCCGATTAGAGGCACATAGCACCCACCAGGTGCTCAAAGAGATTGAACCAGATGAACAGGCATATAGCTCTCTGTGAGGCAGGGGATTTGTTGGAAAGCACTGGGGCATAGCAGTGGTATCTATCACCAGGTGAAACTCCAAATATTGCTCTTTAGGAATAATAAAAGAAAATAGAGTGCTTAAATGTGGAGGAGCATACCAATGACCCCATAAGTGCACTGCTTGGAGGGTCAGAAAGGCCATCGAGTATTTTGTATCTCCCAAGAACAGCAGCCTCTTGTCACGATGCAGTGGGCACCCATCCTATCAAACACTGGCTCCAGAAAAGTGTCTGTGACACAAATCT